CAGATGACCGCCTGTATTACTTGGGATAAATGCAGGGGGTACCTATTGAGTTAATAGCCAACAAACATTGGCGAATCAAGGGGACTAGCCGGCCTACGCTGCCTGGTACCTCTACTTCTCAAACATAAGTGGCGGCGACTGAGTAACTCCAACGTTAACTCATAGTCACTCCTTCAAACTTAGTATGGAGCCTAAAAGGTATGAGTCGTCCGCCTGCTTTTAACAAACAGGGGCTCTCAACCACTACTCTTGCTAGGTTAACAAATTACGAGTTAAAAGCCAACATTGGCAATACAGGGAAACAACCGGCACCCGCCGCTTGTTATCCTACTTAATTCCTTGACGACTAGGTAATACTATTTACTTGGGTCAGACCAATTGAATAAGTAGTTCGAATACCGATTGAATAAGTGGCCGACTGATCGTCTATCCTGGAAACAGACAACCAGTCGTCCAGGGGCATAGGCGGCGTACTTACTATTTGTACCTGTCTTAACGTTCGGCCATACAACAGTCGGTCTTGTGAACAAAGGAATATTAGATATGGAATACTTAGACAAATTTGAACCAAAACAAAAATTTGATTAAAAATGAGCCGGTCATTAAGGACCAGCAGAATATTCAAAACCCCGGCCCCCTGGCCGGGTAATTACAAAGCAAACGGCACGCAGGCCGTGGAAAAAATACTTAAAGCTTAAGAAGGGGGCAGTTCAGTATCAGCAGCTGCCGCCTGGTCAGCACTCTTCTTGCTGGACTCGGCTTTAGCTGCACCCTCTTTTGATGCCTTACCCCCAAGTGGCACAAGCGCCACAACCGGCTCTTCCTCCTCCAACGCACCTTCCAATGCCTCGTCTTCAGCAGCCGCCAGGATCTGTTGATTATATGTTTCCGAACACTGGCGGTACGTTCTTTCCCAGGAGGCAAAGTCGGCACTGGGGAACAGTCGTTCCCAGGTCATGCGCTGGATTTGAGCGGAGTCTTCCTCCATCTCCCGGACGAGCTCTTTCTTCTCTTGCTCGGCCTTTTCCGAGAGCTCTTGGGTAAGACTCTTCTCTTGGTTCACCAGGCGTTCTTTTACGTTGGCCAAAGATTTCTCCATGACTTCGTAAGAGTGCATTTTTTGGCGAAGAGGCTTCAGCTCGGCCTTAAGGTTTGTGACGGTCGCCTCCAGCTCGTCAACCTTCTTTTGGGCCGCCTCTAACTGAGCCCGAACAGCGGCGGTAGCCTGCGCCTGATAATAAAGAAGATCAATGGTCAGTACTTCATTTTGGGCAATTTGAAACATTGCCTTATCACAGCTGGAGGCGGCCATAGCTTTTGCGGCCTTTACCTCTTTGTTTTTTCCGATCAATCGGCTTGCGAAGGCTGTTGACTCGGAGCAGGGCCTAAGTACAAAGAAAAACAGGCGTCAGCTTCCAAGCAAAAAAAAAAAAAAAAAAAAAAAATATACCTCAGCAAGGATCCCTGAAATACTGTTATATACCTCAGCAAGGATCCCTGAAATCCCATCAAGGTCAAGGGTGCCGGCACCCCTGACCGCCTCCCTGTCAGATGGAGGAACTACTTTAACCATGGACTTGGCTACCTCAACCAAGTCAAGCCCCTGAGGGCCGGCTGCATTAAGCGAAAGGAAAAACAATTTAGACCTAGTCAAGAAGGAAGCAAGAGTGAGTTTTTACAAGTGAGGGTCCATACTACTAGGCGGCCCCGCCGGGGTTTTTGAAGAAGTGGCCGGCTGCTTCTCAGCCGCCACCGTTTTCCTGGAAGACCCAGGAGAGCTTGCAACAGTCGTCCTCCGGGCCTTGGGGTCCGGCTGTTGCGAGGAAGAAGCCCTTGGAGTGCCAGACTGAAAACAAAAAGAGTTAGTATATGCATAAGACAACTAAAAGAGGAAGAGTTTTCGAAGCTTACCAAGGGTGCCCCCTTGTCGGGGGAGTCGGCATAAGACTGCTTCATGAGAGAGGCCCGCAACATGGCCGCCGCAGTCTTGGATGCTGTTATTTTACTCATGGCGTCAGCTGCAAGAAATAAACAGCAAAGTTAGTAAAAATCCCAAGTAAACAAGGCGTGAAAAAACAGAGTATTTGTCAGGCCGGCTACCTCTAGAGCACCGACTGCTGAGGCCACAGGCGGCCAAAAAGTACTCATCATAGAGCCACTTAAAGCTCGGGACGCAGTTTAGGGGTACTTGCTCTCGTACCCCTGAAGTAGAGTTCACCCTAGTCTCTACTTTGAAGAGTCCTTTGTCTAGGATCTCTTTTTTAGCCTTTGGGGGAACAGGCGGCATGCTGCGGCCGCCTGCGAGGAGAGGCGGATCCCTATTCCACTTGTTAAAACGTTGGTTCAGCTCCGTGTCTGAACCCTCTATGATAAGGAAGGTGTTCCGCCAATCCTTCCATTTGTTCGCTTTACCTCTCGTCATGAGGTAACCCCTATGGCTCGTTAATTGATACCAGCCGGTACCTCCCGACTTAGGGGTCCGGCTGAGATAGTTCATGTGGGCGAAAGCCTCAAAACTTGGCTCCACCCCGTACATTTCGCACCCGGCCACATAGCCGAGTACGTATACCCAAGAGTTGGGGGCTAACTGCCATAACCCCAAATCATACCCATCTAAAATCCGCTGAACAGCCGGATGTAATGGGAAGCGCAGTCCAGCTTTGATGGCCGCCACATAGCAGCCAAAGCAGCCGTCATCATAGCTGGTACCAGCCGGCCAGACGACAGTGTCTTCTGGGTCCGGCACGAACAGTAAAAATTCCGGGCCCATTCTGTGGTTGGCAATAAAGCTCGCCACGTTGTCTTGCATGGTTGCGATCCGGCCCCGGGGTACCTTGCAGTAGTAGGGGGCGTTTTCCTCTCTGTAAGAGGCGGACGGCTCCGCCCAATTGTCCCCTTTCTCAACTGCATGAGAAAGCCTCGCCTCTTGTAGGCGACTGTTTCTTTCTTCTGAGCCTGGAGAACTGTGGCCAGAAGAGCTGGACTCGGACTCGTCCCCTGACGAGTCCGAAGAGGACGACTCCTCCCCTCTCCCAGAGGGGCCCGCCTCCTCTCCCCTAGAAGGAGCAGGAGGAAAATTAGACATATCAACGGTAAGATGGGAAGGGACCACCTTGGCCCCTCTCTCAGAACTGTCGGCTTGGCAGCCGCCTCGTTTCAATTCTACATCTGGCGCCTGGTCAGATGTTTCACTAAGGAGCACCCTTTGGGAGGAGCCGTTTGAGTTTGATATCATGGCAGTCTTTTTGGTTCTGGCCATCACGTTCTGCATAGACACAGATACAGTCGGACTTTGTATAAAGGGCAAAGATGGGTCCAGAAAAGGGCAGGCGGCACTCCTAGTCCTAGATTCAGCCGTCCCCGGTGACCGGCTGATCACTAACTTAGGTCGTGTCGTGTGCTTCCGTGGTGCCATTTCAAAAAATAAAAAGAAAATTAAGAGTAAGAGAACTGAGTTACCTGAACGAGTGACGGTTGATGAAGTTCTGGAAATCCGGGTCAGTCGGCTTGTCAGAACAGGCGGTAGGCAGAAAATGTCCGAAATGTCAGAGCAAGTTCAGGGGTCCGAATGTTCTCGCAAAGTTCTCAAATGTGAAAATGACCGAAGTCAGCACTTCCTTATATAGGCAAAGTGAGAAGGCGAAGGGTCGCTTCCAAATTCAAAATATGGGCGGGAAAATCTCTCGGCCGTTTGCAAGGTGACACCTGTAGCAGGCCGTCGCCTGTCACCATGCGACACCTGTCACAGGCGACACGTGACCAGTCACGTGCCACCTGTGAGGGGCAAATGATTAGGGGATTTTTATCCTCCAATCACCGTCTGACAAGTGGACCAACCAGGTTCCGCCACGTGTCCTTCACGTAGGCCAATAGGAGCCTGCCACGTGTCAATCACAGATACGTCCTCTGCGGACCAATTGAGACACGCCATGTGTCCACCCATGCCAAATGGGAAAACCGGCCACCAAGGCCCAATCCTGCTTAGAAGCCCGGTCAGCCCTAGGTTTACCCTAAACCTAGAGAGTGGCACGCTTCTCAAGACTATAAATACTCCTCTTAATCCTCATTAAGAGGAGGACGAAAGAGAGAGAATCAGAGAGAGAAAAAGTGACAGAACACTAATCACTCACGGATCATACATTAAACACTCTCACCTAGAGAGACCTTATTACTTTAATTTCCGTAATCATTACTCCTTAATCAGGTACTAACTTGACCGTTGGAGGCGGAGCTCTCAGGAGTCTCCGTTATTTTGCAGGTACAGGCGTCCGGTTCCAGTCTCGGAATTGTAACTCTCCCGCAGGACATCAGGAAACCCCGAAACACAAGTAACCCTAGAATTCAAGTAACACATACAAGTAACCCTTGACAAACCAGTAACACCTTACAAGTAACCCTTGCCACACTATGTGACCAGCCGCATACAAAAATTTGTAAAACTTATTAGCTATAGCTAATTTTCATGAAAAGATGTTCTAGGTGAATAGCAATAAACAAATGTGTAATCTGACATATTTTCATAGATATTGGCATATTGTTATAAGGTATAAACAATCCTATGAGTATTAAGCAATCCAACAGAGTATATAGGTAATGTATGATACTTTTTTACAGTGTATAATCTAAAAAATTAAAATAATATTTACACATTGTTTGTCAAAAGATGTCAAATCAAACTTATCGTATACTTGAAAGAAATACTACCTCCGTTACATATTATTTGCAACGATTTGACATAAAGTAGAGAGGAAAAATGTCTAATCGTTGCACATAATATGTAACGGAGGTAGTATATCTATTATTTCAACAACTAATATTATGTGTGAACACATATTCAACAAACAATCATTTCAAATAGCTAACAATCAACAAGTATATACATTATCAATATTTATAATTACTTGCACATCGCCTGTCGATGCAACTATAATGCAAAATACTCCCTAACCCTAATTAACATTATTAACACGGCTTTGAACATCATATTGTACTCGTCCGGTGCCTAACACCCCTACACTCGTCCTTATAAATCTGCACAACTATTGTCTATACTCGGTGTTTTTCCTACAAGTTTGAACCCACAACTCTACTTTCTCTTCTTTACTCTATCCCCAAAATATTCTCACTTCCTTCCAACCCTCCAACGTTAACTCTTCCACCTTACTTTCCCATCTACACTTTTCCTCTTACAAACAATTAAATCCACCTTATTTTACCTTTTCCCTTCCTATTACATCCCTCCACGTGTACCCCTTTTCTATATATTCTAATCTCATCTCTCTTCCACACCAACCAATTCCTCGTCTTCCCCTCCTCTTTTCTCTCTCCTCCTCGCACAATCACACTGTTTCCAAAAACAAAAATATGGGATGAATCATCAATAATCCCTTTCTATTTCGAATGATCTCACTCATTTTTATTTGATCCTTGATTTTATTATTTGTCGTGAACGGACACCTGCAAAACAACGAATATTCCGTAACTCTTTGATCAGCCGAGCAATGGCGGCGATAACCATACCGATAAGGAAACCGATCCAATACCTAACATACTACCTATCCGAACATCCGTCAGTCGTCAACTTCCGATGGAGCCCCTCGCAATCATGGGGGTCAACATGGTCATTCCTCTTCACCTCAATCTCTCTCTACCTCATTCTCTCTCTCTTCCTTCACCTTCTCCTTTGCCTCCTCTTCCCTCGCCGTAAACCCATCTCTCTCGGCCCGATACCCGCCTTCCATTCTCTCTCAATGGCCTTAATCTCCTTCACCATCTTCTCCGGCATCTTCCTCTCCGCCGCCGCCGAGATCCGCGACACACGGTGGTTCTGGCGCCGGAGTAAAACCCCCTTTCAATGGCTCCTTTGCTTTCCCCTCGGAACCCGACCTTCGGGCCGGGTTTTCTTCTGGTCCTACGTCTTCTACCTCTCTCGCTTCCTCGACCTCTTCCGCACCTTTCTCTCTCTCCTCCGCCGTCGCAAACTTCCGACGCACCACCTCCTCAACCACTCCATTCTAATATTCTCCTCGTTCTTGTGGCTCGAGTTTTCGCAATCGTTTCAGGTCTTAGCGATCATTTCTACCACCCTTGTCTCGTCGATTGTTTATGGATATCGATTTTGGACTGCGATTGGATTGCCTAGTGCTTGCTTTCCCTTTGTTTTGAATTGCCAGATTGCTCTTCTTGGGTGTAATTTGATCTGTCATATCGGTGTTCTACTAATGCATCTTTTGAAAGGTGGGTGTAATGGGATTGGTGCTTGGGGGTTTAATTCGGTCTTAAACACCGCGATTTTATCCCTTTTCTTGAATTTTTATGTCAAGAGATACCTCAATAAGAGCAAGATTACGGATAATGGTGGCGACGGCGGCAGCAGCGACGGCGGCATTGAGTCGGAAAAGCTTAAGGATCAATAATAATAATAATGGTGGGTGCATTATATATTATTACCTTGTGTTTTATGTATATAAAAAAGTTTGTAGTATGATTGAGGTAGATATGTTTCATATATACAAGTATAAAATAGTACGAGTTTTTTATTTTTAGTGTTGTGAATATTGTAAGTTTAGAATTTAGAGGTTGAATAGAATATTTTCTCTTTAATTTTATTTGGCCTTCTAAATTCATTGAGAGAGATTAGTGTTGGTTTGCTTTTTTAATCATAATTTTATTATGATTTGAGAATTTGTGTAATGATGTATAGGAAATTTAATAATTTATGTACAACTTCGGATTGGAAGGTTCATACCTTATCAATAAACTTCAAGAAATGTAATGTGATATTTCCGGAAGTTCTACTCTGTGGTCTATACCAAGAGAAGGAAATTGGTTACGTAATCTTGTAGACAAGCTGAATTCTCCAAGAAAGGTTCGACATTATTATTTACAAAACTCAAAATAAACTTCAAAATAAAATAGAGTGTATCGTACTTTTCACGTTCAATCAAACTACACCATGTTATATTTTGTATATCAAAGAATATGATATGGTCAGAAAAATTGAAAGGAACTAAACTAAAGCGATCAATTAGCATCTATGAAAGTAAAGATTTTGATTTTCCAGAATATATGTTTAAAAAATTAAGTCATGGGCAGCGTCTTTTTCGTATTTATGAGTTGCCGAATTGGTTATGGAAATATCTTTGCCACCATAATATTTGGTGAGCCCTTGCTTTCCACGAGTTACAGCTGAATCATTAAAACAAGACTATACAAGATTATTTTCATGAACAGAAAATTGAATAATTTCATTGTTACCTTTTCTCTCATCTAAATGACATTGGTCATAAATCTTGTCACTTAAAGTAAACATTATTTCCTACTCATAATTGTAAAAGTTTGTTTCTTTTTGCTTTATGCAACGTACTCGATCTTTCTAATACGGAGTACTTCCCCTTTTTCACAAATTCTGTTTATTCGGACTACAAGATTAGCTTGATTTTTGAAGGGGTAAAAAAAGTATTAAATGAGAAGACGTGTATGTATTACTGTATATAAAATAGACGGTGTGTACATATGAATATATGATGTTCTGAATTCTTAAAGCTACCTAGCTCCATACCAAACACGGAAAGTCGGAAACACCATTAAATTGATGCATTGTGTTAGAAAGTCACATACACATACTATTATTGTAAGATTAAATCTCCTTTCAATGACGTAATAATTATGAGTAAGATACTAAGAATCTCTTTTTTGCATTTATAAATAGAATGACGTAGCTAACTTAAAATATGTATCTGTTACACATACGGAGAGTTATTGTTTTGAAACTTAAAAGTTGTAATTAGTGTTATTTTAAATGACAAAACGACATGCTTATGAGTATTAGGTGAAACGCCAATACTAGTTGACGTTAAGGATTAAGCCAAGTTGTTGATTAATAAACAAAATATTTAAAATTTGATTGGAAAAAGATGTGACAGGTGCTAGTTATGCGACTTCTGTTGCTTAAGTTTTTATAAATAAAGAAAGAAAAAAATCCACTAAAATTCATTCTTATGCAAGTTATAAAACTCAAAAGTATTATACATTGTTGAACGTATATATCCTTGTTTGACAAAATTATCTACGGAGTATAATGATAGAGTATTTGAATCAATTATTGTCAGGTTTAAATCTCATCCACCCCCCATGATATAAGGGGGTCTATGTCACATCTATGTTTAAAGCCCTTTGATAGAGCATATAAATACTCTCACCGTCTTTAAATGTTGTTCTTGTTTTATCTTTTGCACATTATTGCAATTGTGCAAATATTTGATTACTTGAACATCAACAATTCAACATTAGTAAATACAGAGTAAGTATGTACTTTGTTTAACAAAACTAAATAATTAAATTATGTATTGAGATTAATCAAATGAATCTCCCATGTGTATTTAGGTAATGTTTTCTTAATGCAAATTTCACATAAATTGCTTATTAATACTCCCTCCATCCCTAAAAATTCGATCCTTTTGGCCTAATTTTAGTCTCAAAATTATCGACCCATTTGCATTAAAATACCCACCAATTTACAACAATAATTCAATAATTGTGCAAAATTAGCTTCCCCGTGTAAAAATTTATTTTTCATGTATTTTTTGTAATTTATCTCTCTACTTTTTTACAAACACATGTAAATTTATCTTTCCAATATGTTTATTTTATTTTATTTTATTTAACTTTCTTAATAACCGCGAAATCAACCCAAAAGGATCGAAGTTTAGGGGACGGAGGGAGTACTAAACTTTGCTTATTTGTATTTATTAGTCTTGACTTTATGCTATATGAACTTATCAAATTTTATATTATACTTGCATTATCTTTTGTTATGCAATATTATCTTATCTTATTATACCTTGTTAGAACTTACAAGGCCTCATTACACATTTACACTTACCTAGCTACCTTATTGAAGCTATCAAACCTTGTATTATACAAAATATTTATTTATTAACCTTTGTCATTTAAACTTATTAGCCTTTAGTCTATTTATTTTTAACTTAATAGAACTTATAAGATATGAAATAAATAAAATTAAGATGATGAGAATATAATCTTAATTAATTCAAGCCTTTTATGATGATGTAATGTTGTATAGAATCATGGTCGGCTTCATATTTTAAATTTTTTTGTTGGGGGGTGCCGAGTGCGGAGATAGTAGAAGTGTGACTTATTTTGTTTGTTAGTTTGATGAAGCTTTGCTATGTGACATCATAAACATAAAGATAACTGAAATGAAATAATTAATTTCCTCTCATTGGTGACTTTTTATGTGTAAAATATTTCAGAGTAGACAAATACAGCCATACAAGAATTATAAAAAAATAATTAGTCAATTTGTCCAACGTGGTGTATTAAATATTTTTTTTTCTTTTTTTTTAGACAAATTCAAAAAAAAAAAAAAAAAAAAAAAAGGTTGATTGAGAGTTGTCAAAATTCGACTATTCAAAATTGGAACAAGGCCTCCAATTTAGAATAAGAAGAAATACTCACAGTGGTACTTTGGTCACGTTCTTAATCAGTCTTCGTTTCATTGTTTTCCTACTTAAGGTCTAGACTGGATTCCAATTTTTTAAGTGACTTCAATATCTATTGTACAAACATCCAACTCTAATACAAACTTAAAAATAAATTTTAAACCCTGCATTACTTCCAATAGTTCCAAACATCCAACTCTAATACAAACTTAAAAATAAAGTAATAAACAATAAAATTCATGTTCTAATTAAGATTACAAATCCATAAACCAAATACATTACAAAGTTTTAATTCGTACTAAGTTTTTTTAATTCGTACCCAATTTTCCCAAATTGATTTGTACACTAATTCAAAAAAATAAATATATTTATTTATTTTAACGGTTAACCGATGGTTAACCGTTTACTAAAACTTGTAACCGTAACTGTTAACCGCTATATTTAGTGGTACGGTTAACCGTAACCGTTTAATTTAACGGCTCGGTAAATTAACCGTTTAAATGAGCCGGTTACACCGGTTAACGGTTACGGTAAACGGTTACGGTTTTTTTTGCACACCTCTACCCGCCACGTGTGGTAGGACGGGGATGGGTATAAGATTTTTAGGCGGGTATGGGTATGTAGGTACCACCATCCGCATCCGACCCGCCCCATTGCCATCCATAATACTTTTGATATAAGTGGCACCACTTGTTATTGAGAGATATTATATACAGTCATGATAATATTTGTCGCGGATTACGATAATATATATGCATATATTTTATATCCTTATCGTATTAAAATTACGAGTATTGTAAAACTCTATATATATATTGGTCAATGGTACACATTCCAATTTGAGTATAAAACTCACCCTACAAAAATACACCAAAGTAATAAAAATGTGAATCTTGTTAGTACAATGGCTAAAGATTAATCAAATTACATGGTTTCAAACACTACAAAAATAAATGCTTTTTAGCAACTAAGTTTGGCAACAGTTTTTTTTAAACGTTGCTAAATAGCAACGAATATAATTTTTTTCACTGCCTAATTAAAAGCGACATTTTACGCTTTAGTTTTTAATAATTAATGGCTACATGTTTTTGATTTGTTGCTATTTAAAACAAATCGTCTTACTAGCTAGTTGTTACTAGATGACATCATATTTTTCTCTTGTTGCCATGTGGTGACAAACTATGACGTACAACTAATATTTTATTTGTATTGATTTAGAAACAAACAAAGACAATGAATTTTTGAATTGTTGCCATTAGAAACAAGTCGTCTAAACTTTTGTTGCTAGATGATAACGTATTTTTTTATTTGTTGCCATTTGAAACAAATTGTGTTACATTTTGTTGTTAATTTACATGTAGTTCAGTTTTTGCTATTATGTATAAAATTATTTGAAAACACTCTTCTTATTAATTGTTGCTATAATGACATCAAATAGAGACGAATTTCAATTTCGTCTCTAATTTAGAGACGGATTTTTGATTTTGTCCCTAATTTAGAGACAAAATTTTCAATTTCGTCTCTAATATTTTGTTCACTTATTATAAATTATATGTATAGAAGTAAACAAATAGTACTTCGTATAGTTGGTAAGAGATTTACCATGTGACTTTGAGGTCACAAGTTTGACTCCTACCAACTGCGATTCTTGAGAAAGGGGATTCAAAGAGCCTTACATGTAAAGTCGAGCCAAGTTGACCTGACTCGAGTGAGATTTCAAATTGGTAAAGGCCGGGATCAGGTTGAACCAAAATGCTAATAGGGATTAGGTTTTTGTCTCGTAGTGTTGATAGCAACCAATATTTATGATTTGTTGCTATTTTTATGAACCAACTTTAATAATTTGTTCCTATTTTTAGGAACCAACATTAATAATTTGTTGCTATTTTAGGAACTAATATTAATAATTTGTTGCTAATTTTAGCAATGACCAATGGTAATCTGTTGCCAAAGTTGGCAACGAATGCACCAAAAATAGCAACCATCATGGAAACCATATTTAAATGGATGCAATATTGCAACAAAATTGATTTGCAACTGGTAGCCAAAATCCCATGGCAACAAGCCTTTTAGCAACAACAAATTTTTGTTTCCAACCCGTTGCTAAATAGAGTTGACAACGAATTTTTGATGAATAGCAACAAATTTTAGTTGATGCTATATTGACTTAATTTTGTAGTGAAATCTAATTATCACCTTCAAAGTCCTTTAATAAAAAATTTACGAAGCTAAATCTAATTATATGCTCTAAACAAAGTTGTCTTACTATCACATTACAAATTGTACATGAGAGTGAGGGATAGCTCAAGTGGTTAGAGCTCTCTTCT